CAATGAACTCGCTCGCTCGCGCTCGGCCGGACGGCCTCGCGTTGCCTGGTTTGGCTCCTTCGGCTTCTTCTTCAACTAGTCCTTCCACCGCGCCCTCGCGCGGCGGCCCGCGCCCTGCACGCGCGAAAAAGCTCACGGTATTCAAAACCCAAACCCGCCATCAAGTGGACTCGCTCGCGCTCGACGTCTTGGCTCCTTCGGCTCCCTCTTCAGCCAGTCCTTCCACCGCGCCCACGCGCTGCGGCCCGCGCCCTGCACGCGCAAACGAGTTCTCGACATTCAAAACCCCATCGCATCCCAGCGATACGTGGATTCAAGCTGGCGTCTGACTGTCCTGAATGTTGTGCTGGTCTGAGCGCTGCGTCGCCCATTGCCTGCTGCGTGCCTATATATATTAGCGGCTCAACATGGTCCAACAGGTGTTGTTCAGTCACTGGCTTAGTCGACGTCAGGCTGAGGTCGAGCGATCGACCCAAACCCTCATGCACCAGCACTCACACCAAAGGGTGTGAGTGTGTGCGCCCCGGCCCCCACGCCCCGCCTCGGCTGCGCCTCGGCCGCCGCAGCCCTGCAGTGGCGGCCGCAGGGAGCAGCATCGTCTTCGTAGCCTTGGTAGCCTTGAGCGGCGTCTTCGCGTGCGGCCCGCCGCCGCGTGCAGCAGCGTCCTCCGCAAGCGCGCGACGCACATCCACTTGAGGACCCGAGTGAGACGGGCAGTCGAGAGGTGCCAGCGGGTACCTCAAGTGGACAGCATCGCGACGCTGCGAGCGCGCACACTGCGGCGGCCGCAGGAAGCAGCATCGTCGTAGCCTTGGTAGCCTTGAGCGGCGTCTCCGCGTGCGGCCCGCCGCCGCGCGAGGCAGCGCCCACCGCAGCGCGCGACGCACATCCACTTGAGGACCCGAGCGAGACGGGTGGTCGAGAGGTACGAGTACCTCAAGTGGGCAGCATCGCGCCGCTGCGAGCGCGCACACTGCAGTGGCCGCAGGAAGCAGCATCGTCGTCGTAGCCTTGGTAGCCTTGAGCGGCGTCTCCGTGTGCTGCTCGCCACCGCGCGAAACAGCGCCCGTCACAGCACGTGACAGAAGCAATAGCATGGTGATGAAGAGCAACATCATGGTGGCGAGCCAGGCAGCGCCCCCCTCGGGGGGCGCAGTTACAGCTGCACGCTCGCGCAGCACAGGGAGCAGCGGGGCTACGATGGCGGAAGGCAATGTTACATAGGGCACAGACATTGCAGTTGCAGTGTACTGTGTATTGCTAATCGTGCACAACTTCCAGGACAGCCAGACGTCAGCTTGAATCCCTATCAGGAATATTTTATTCATATTGATAGGGGTTCAAGCTGGCGTCTGATGGTCTTCTGACTACCCTACAAGTTACATCATCAGGCCCCGAAATTATTGTGTATTTTTAGGACAGACCGACAGTCATCAGACGTAAGCGTTCGACTCAGTTGTATGGGGTCAATATATTGTCATTGGGCCATCCTGTCATTTGCATGCGTTGTTGTGAATCGTGTACTACTGCGTTGCCAGTACATCATCAGATTCGAAGAATTACAGACAGTGTACATCCTTCACGCATCACTATCCCTGTTCAAAAGCGTAATAATACCAGCCAGTTCGCATGTCAAGGGCATTCTAAATCTAAAGGTGCGCCCAGTCCGGCGCTCGAGCGAGCTCGATGACGGGGCGACGACGAAGATGAAGAAGGCGGGTGAGAGGCGGCGAGCGTGAAGGCGGGTCGCAGATTGACCTTGGGCGATTTTTTTTAAACGTGATTAAGCCTTAAAACGTGATTAAGCCAGTAGGTTGTTGTAACTGTTATTTGTACAGGGTGTCAGTTGACATTGTCAGTTGATTTTTATAAAAATATGGTCAGTTGACATTTTTGGGATATTGTCGGTTGACATTTTTTGGGATACAATCATTGGGGTAGCGGCTGGACCCTTCAGAGTCGGGTTTCCAGGATTGATAGGTAGGTAAGCAAATGACCAGACGGCCGTTCTGTCCATCGCACGGATTGAGGGGCTGCACGACAAGAAAAGTGAGGGGCTGCACCCGCTTGTGAACGCGGAAAAGGATTCCAAAATCGGCGCCGATGATATCTCACTTTCCCCCAATATTGGTACCGGAGCAGGGATGGGGGCTGAGAGGTGGGGGCTCGGTTAGCGGTTGGCTGCGACGTGCGGGTCAAGGGAAGGATGTGCATGCACCCCGTCTGCCCTTCGTGGGTGTGCGCCCCCGCGTCCCAGGAGGTCGGTGTGAGCGAGGGTCTTGATGCTGACGGGAGGCTCGATCTCACTTTTCCCCAATATTGGTATCGGAGCAGGGATGGGGGCTGAAGGAGAGGTGGGGGGTCGGTTGGCGGTTGGCTGCGACATGCGGGTCAAGGGGAGGATGTACATGCCCCCTGTCTGCCCTCCGTGAGTGTGCGCCCCCGCGTCCCAGGAGGTCGGTGTGAGCGAGGGTCTTGATGCTGACGGGAGGCTCGATCTCACTTTTCCTCAATGTTGGTATCGGAGCAGGGATGGGGGCTGAAGGAGAGGTGGGGGCTCAATTGGCGGTTGGCTGCGACTTGCGGGTCAAGGGGAGGATGTGCATTCACCCCGTCTGCCCTCCGTGAGTGTACACCCCCGCGTCCCACGAGGTCGGTGTGAGCGAGGGTCTTAATGCTGACGGGAGGCTCGCGCACGGTCGGGGGCCATGGGCGAGACGGCCGGGATCGGCGGGTTGCGGGTTGACTTGCACAACTGGCATTCGACACCGCACGTGCTCGCACGACAGCCACGCGCTCGATGCGGGTAGACATCTGCAGGCGCGTGGACGACGGGAAGGCGAGCACAAGCTGAAGCAGCATGCGACGTGTCAGACAAGCTTGAGCCGCTTGAAGATGAGCCGCTTGAGGACGATCCGCGCGTGGACGAGCCGCGCGTGAAGGTAGGCGGGGCGAACTTGAGCACCGACGGGCGAGCTCGATGAAGGACAAGCTTGAGCCGCGTGCCAGACGAAGTTGAAGGACGACGAGCACGACGAAGGACAAGCTCGAGCCGCGTGCCGAATATCCGGATGCCGAAATAATGAGGCCGAATATCCTGTCCTGGGCACGAGCTTTCCTGAGATACTCGGCCTCGAGGGGCTTTGCCCGGCGCGCGACGCCGGGGGGGAGCGCAACATTATTGTCAGTGTAATAGCTTGGGCAGAATGCGATAGTCTTAAC